TTGTTGTCTCCGTTGTGTTGTGTCACGGGGGGGGGGGGGGGGGGGGGGGATCTGTTAATTTTTACATCCATCAAGATGGTGCAAAATGGGAGCAATAAGAATGATTTAGCGTTGGATTGGAGTTTATTGAATACATTTCCTCCTCTGCCGCTCAATGGTAGCTCTGCTCCATTATGAAGCATGTCCCTGACGTGGTGAACTGCAATGACTTGTACTTTCCTGCAGTGTGACACGTCTGCTCTCTCTGCTCCTCCCTGAGACCAGCTCCCATGCTGAGGAAGATGAGGACAAATGGTAACATGACTGGCAGCTTTTCTCAAATTCTTAGGTAAAAAATATCAAAGTGCATGCAGAGATCTGCACAGCATGAGCCGGACATACAGGTGAAACTCGAATAATTAGAATATCGTGCAAAGTTCATTTATTTCACTAATGCAACTTAAAAGGTGAAACTAATATATGAGATAGACTCATTACATGCAAAGCAAGATAATTCAAGCCGTGATTTGTCATAATTGTGATGATTATGGCTAACAGCTCATGAAAACCCCAAGAACTCCAAATCCAGAACCTCAAAAAAGTAGATTATTACATGCAATCAATAAAACAAGGATTGTACATAGAACAATATCGGACCTCTGAAAAGTACAAGCATGCATATGTACTCAGTACTTGGTTTGGGCCCCTTTTGCAGCACTTACTGCCATTACTTTTGCACGATATTCTAATTATTCGAGTTTCACCTGTACATAGCTCACTATCAAGCAGAAGCAGGAGTTGGCCTATAAGCAGGGATTCCATTCACAATACCTGCCATTGACCACTAGAGGGCGCCTTAGAAATCTGTGTGTAGAATGCATTCATCAACATATGGAACGACAAGCTTATGGGCAAAAATGACTTTAAGGCTGGGTTCACATCTAGGCGTACGAAATAGGCGCGTTTCGTGCCACGGGTTTTTACCGCGATTTGCGGTAAAAGAAACACGCGTTTTCGAGGGCTATCCGGCTGTATCCTAATGGATATGCGCGGCAAATACGCCCCAAAGAAGCTCCTGTACTTCTTTGGGCATAGGGCGTTTTGCAGCGCGTTCCTACACGCTGAAATACGCCAAGGTGGGAACCATACCCATAGGCAATCATTGGTTTTCACATGTTGAGCGTTTTACAGCCCGTACGAACGCGCTGTATAACGCCCAGGTGTGACCTTAGGTCAATGTCACAAGATTCAATTCTGATTTAATAAGGACTCAAAGTGTGACTTCAGTGCTGATGAACTCTAGTTTTCTGTCGGCAAACCAATAATGTTTTTTACACAGGCGATTGTTTTTCTATGTTTACGTCCTTGCTTTGTAATTGCACATTTTTTAAGAAACATACAAAACGTTTATTTGTATCAGTAAATCGCCTTATCGTTAATCCACGTTCCAGATTTCGGTAGCTGATCTCCCGGGCTTAATAGAGGGCGCCCATATCAACAGAGGAATGGGACACAAGTTCCTCAAGCATGTGGAGAGGACCAAACAACTTCTGTTCGTGGTGAGCGTGTTCACATAACTCCTAATGATCGCTGATATCCATAATCATCCCCCAGACATAAACACAAGCATTCAACCCGCGCAGGTGGACTCAGAACCTATAATACAGCCTCTGCCTGGTGCTGCCTGAATCCATGCCTCATCCATAGCTATGGAATTGGAGCCTCATCTCTCAGTGATTTCTCTTTCTGTGACATTGCCACAAGGGAATTCTGGGGGCCGCCATAGAAAAAAGTTAAACAAATTTGAGTCGCAGATCTTGAACAAAAATGATGTAAATAAGTGTCAGAAAAGTGTCCGAATTCTTTATTTCTCCATTGGTTCAGGTCAGCAACTCAGCCAGCATTTAAGCCAAAGCTTCGGCATGACAGCCAGGAATCTAACGTTCTCAAAAGGAGAGTTGAGCAATGGCAGCCTCCATGATTCTCCCGTGACATGATCCCCTTTTAAAGCAAACCTGTCGGCCTCAACCTGACTGCGATTCCCTCATTTGTTCAGAAAGGCCTCTCCAGTGCCCCCTCTGAGACTGCTTTTGGTTTGCTAGGGAGATGTTGAATTTGGACCTAAGCCCCAGTCACCATCTAGTCCCTTGTCCAATGAGAGAGCCTCGCTGACCATTCCACTTTAAGAACCCATTCACACGAGAGTGATCTGTTGCTGTGCATTATGGTATGCGTTAATGTGCATTGCATTCAGTCTGTGAATTATAACTGGGCTGCCAACTCGCCACAATGGATAAAAAAGATGCAGTGCAGCACAACGTATCTTATATGCGTTGTGGTGCCCTGCTGTGTATTGGCCTGTACAGTGCATTGGGTTGGGCTGCCATTCACAGTAAATGTCATCACAACTCACTGCACATAGAGCAGGTACATTGCCATGCACTGGGGCAATGCACATTAGCATGGGCTGCCACAATGCACAAGTGTGAATGGGCCCCTAACAGTCATTATTATTTACAGGTATCCTAACTTTAAACCTTCTCCCTAAAACGACAGTACCGGGCTTATCAGTGAGTTCCGTATATATTTTCAGGTTGACATTGGCGGATTTCAACTCTCCTTCAAGACTCCATTCAGAACAGCGTTTGAAACTGTGCAGTTGCTCATCTTGGTGAGTTGGGGTCTCGTTTTGCTGCAACAAAATTGCTCTGGTCGCAGTCCTCGCCATTTAGTGCAGGGGAAGCAACACTTCAGCCTTCCAACTGTCATGAAACTACAAATCCCATGATGCATCTGTCTTCAGAAGTCATGCCTGTGGCTGCCAGAGTGGTGCAATGCCTCATGGGGTTTGTAGTTTCACCACAGCTAGAGGGCTGGAGTTTTCCTAACCCCCCCCCCACCCCCCCTTTCCTTTTTAATGCACTTTCATCTGTTTGTTAAAGTGACACTAAACACAAGGGTTAAGTCTTAAAAATACATTCAAGTACCTTAACTGTTAGGCCTCATTCACACTGTTAAGAGCCGGCCTGTACAGATCCGTGCGGGTGTCTGTGCTTGGACGCAGACAGGATTCATCCATCTGGCCGCATACTCCTATAGAGAAGAACAGGCTGCTGTACAATCACACGCAGCACCTGCCCTTCCCGGGAACGGCCCGATATGGCCGTGCACGTCGTACGGATCTGTACGGGCGGCTCTTAGCAGTGTGAATGAGGGCTTAACATAAATGTATCTTATTTGTGTATCACTCGGCTGTAGATCCTCAAATCATCTCTGAATTGGTGCTGACACTGTCCTTCCTTCTGGAGGGGGGCTACTTTTGTTCCCCATGGTCCCTGTGTGTGTTGTAAAGTAGTCACCGCTCCAAGCTCGCTCCCGTGATACATTCAGAATTGTGAAAGCTGGTCGAATGACCAGTGAAACATCTTCATGAAAATAACCTAGCTGCATGGTCAGACGCCGATGTTGGGCGGCGGGAATCTGTACAGAGTGAGGGGAGCTATGGCTGGGATCGATTAAAGGAAGCTTTATCCTGAGGCAGAGATTGCGCTTCCCATATTTGATCGCCGTCGGTTCTCTCTCCACCCTCTCTGTTGTCCTTGACTGTTTCTGGGCATGACTCCCCGACTGTGCGGATCCACTCACCACTAATGTCCCACTTATGGTTACCTCCGACTTCCTGATGAAGCTTCGGCGAAATGCATAGAAGGCTGGACGCAGTACAGACTTGCAGTATATCTTACTTTGATTATGATTATTTATATAAAATTATTTATTATAATGTCATTGATAAAACAAGTTCATTGTATTTATTATGCATGTATCATGCACATGTACAGAGTCCAGGGAGGTTTTATGCTGTTTGATCATGGATACTAGCGGGTATATTTATCATGTGGATCATGTAATCTTTTCATAAATAAATGTTATTTTACTGTGTAATTTTGTCATTACTATGTTGTATTATCCCTAATTGCATTTTTTGACACCTTAAAAGCCCCATCTATCTCTTTTTTTTGCTGTTTACCATGAAAATAAATACCGCAAGTCCAGTTGCCTGGATTGATCTTGTACAGATCACATGACCTGGAGAAGAACCTTCACAGACATGTTTCCACTTTGCAGATTATGTCCACATGCTGCCGGAAGAGCTAGTCCCGGAGCAGCAGATCAACAGCAGCAGATCCCCGTCAGACACATCCTCCCGGTATCCGCTGTCTCCGGCCGAGGAATGCAGGAGCTCACCCGCTGTCTCCGCAGGTCGCTGGAGGATCAAGCCGAAGTAGAGATCGGAGAATCTGCGCAGGAAAAACTGCGAAACCTCCATAAAATGAGATCGCTCCGCGTGCCAGATAAAGTACAGACTCCATCCTGATCCACAGCCACCTCCGTGTCTTGTATATTTCTGTGTATGATTTTGTACAGTTTGTGTAAGCCCCATTAAATATGATTCTCTTAGCTGTGTATGTGTCAGTCTGGTGGAGATCGTTTCATTTCTATCACTCGTATATGTGAACATACAGACGCTCCTCACACTGGATCACGGCACGGATCTGGAAGGAATACACAAAGCTCACCCAGACTCCGGGAAGAAGGCACATGACTTGTATGAGGACAATATTTACTCCTCTCGGAGTTCAGCTTTTACTGGAAATAATTCAGAGGGATATCTACATTCTTTTCTCTATGGAATGTGAATATTTGGCGTGTTACATCTGTGTCTGTCATTGATATGCACTCACGGAATGCACTTTCTTCTCACTGTGCACATCCTTTGGTGCTGTATACACCATCCGGACACTTCTGTCGCTCAGCAGCTCAAGTCTCTATACACTCAGGCTGAGGGCACCAAGACAATGACATTTCTTATTGGGAGGAAAGTGATTGCTGATGACATTATCATCTCTTGAACCCCTTATGGTTAGAGGTCAGGGAAGCTTAGATGCCCAGATGGGATTTAGCAGTGTCAGAATGCATCAGTTATTGACAAAGACTCTTAAGGGCCCATTAACTTCTATGCAGCAATGTGTGTTACATTATTTTAAATGGCACCCCAACGCACTAAGGTCATGCACAGGCAATGAAGCGTCTCAATGCAGCATGATGCAATGTGGTGCATCGCGTAACAAATGTGATACATCTGACTTTTGGATGTTTTAGTGCGCTGGCATATGCTAAAGTGTTAAATAGGCCCTAAAGCCGGCCATACACCTATAGATTATCGGCAGACTTTCTATGGTCAGAGGGAAAAAGTGCAACGGATTCCTCCAGCTACGCTCAACTGTGTGGATGGAGGAATCTCCCGCTGGGCCAAGCTTCAGTATCTTGCTAGTCGGCCCCGCTGGCTGTCAAAACACCTGAATGATGCCTGCGTCCAATCAGATTGTTCAGGTGTTTTGACAGCCAGCGGGGCCGACTAGCAAGATACTGAAGCTTGGCCCAGCGGGAGATTCCTCCATCCACACAGTTTAGCGTAGATGGAGGAATCCGTTGCACTTTTTCCCTCTGACCATAGAAAGTCTGCAGATAATCTATCTAAGGTGTATGGCCGGCTTAAGCCTAATTTGCTAAACAATGTTTACATTTGTTTTTTAACCACTTGGGTCCCGGGTGCCATTTTGAAATGGCGGCTATTTGACCCTTTTAAAACCACACAGGGGCTTTGTAGCTCTGCATGGCTTCTGTCCCGGAGCCGTTGGCTATCAGCCCTCGTTCACACCTGAACGTTTTGTAGCGCGTTCTACACTTGACGAACGCTCTACAAAACGCTCAAAAATATAAATCGCATTGTATTCAATGGTCTCGTTCCCACCTTGGCGTATTTCCGCCCGTCCCTAACGCGCTACAAAACGGCCCACGCCTGAAAAGGTACATGTACTACTTTGGGCCGTTTTGTTGCGCGTTTCCATTGGGATACAGCCAAGTAGCCTTCGGAAACGCCTAGGTGCAATATGCAATACGCCTAGGTGTGAACGAGACCTCAGAGATAGTGCATGGTCAGTGCCAAGCCCAGAAGCTTCAACGAGCATGCTGATTGGTCATTGGTTGGGCCTGGCGCTGTCAGTAACAGCCCAGTAGGCCAGCAAGCAGCATGCTGTACAATGTGGACATTCCCTTGGCAGGGGGGTCCATACCAGGGAAAGTTGATCTACAGACTGCGGACCCCTTGTAGTTTATGTTCAGCATATTTCAGTCCTCTCTGAAAAATTGCAACCTTTTATATTGAACAGGTGCTCTTTAAATAAAGCCCATGTGTATTAGAAATAAATGTTGGTTCTGCGTGTCCCGGCCACTATTGTCACATGTACACATGTATAAAGTTCCACCTGCACCATGTCCTGTTAGATGCCACATCTGACCATATGCATAAAAGTCAATATTTATTTGTTCCGTAAAAGCGAGTTCACCAGTTACAGAATATTGGCAAAGTTTTTTTGTTGGAAATCGACCAGTAAAAGGCATACATGACACGGGCACGCTAAAAAGCTACAACACAGCTGAAAAATAAAGCATTACAAAAAGAAATAATTGTTACATTCCAGATAGAAAGATCTAATGCTGGACTTCTTTAGCGATACAGAAACAATTCCTTTGCAAAACGAATACACCTCATAGCAGATGGCGCACCCAGCTGCTGGGGGGACTATAAGCCCCAGCATGTCTCGTTTGGGGTAACTTCACGTTCAGACTTGTGTTTCCTCAACAGCTGGGGGGGGCCTAGGACTGACCGTGTCCCATAGCATCCGATCACATCAGAATTCCTCAGATCAGCCTGGTCACTGACTATTGAAAGCTGAAGTGGATTACAGGCTGTTGACGAGCTGTCAGTCAGTTTGTGATGAAACAGCCATCAGCGAGACAGACTGACTGCTGGCTATTAGACCACAACAAAATGGCTGCCTTTGGTTACCTAAATCCCAACATCCCATTTCCTATAAATGTGATATGTCCACAGTTTTGTGAATCATTCTCATTTTTATCAGTTGTGTCCCCCTAGAAAATCTCTGGACACTGCTGACTTGAAGGGACTCTAGACACGGCATATACTGACCTATAATGTCCTTCTACGGCAAGGATAGGCAAGCTCGGGCTCTCCAGCTGTGGTGAAACAACAAATCCCATCTTGTCTCTGGGAGTCATACCTGTGATTGCCAAAGTTTTACAATGCCGAATGGGATTTGTAATTGCACCAGAGCTGGAGCGCCAAATTTTTCCTACCCCCTTACTACAGGAAGCGTCTCAATAGGTGTGTAGTAACACCCAGAGCTGTCAGTCTGTTCTCATAGACACCTCGCATGAATTATAAAAACTGGAGAGAAAGCACCCCTGAGTTTCATGTACCCTGCTAAATAAACTTGATAGCTGATTGGTTGCTCTAAGTGGCAGCCTTCCATTGCCTCCACCTCTCAGAGAGGCTGCCCTACCTACAATTCACCTACAGCAACAGGAAGTGTTTCCCTTTGTTGGTGACAACGTCTGTACACACCTAAGGGGACCACATAAGTAATAATTACAATCTACAATGGGACTTTGCTTCTCCGTGTTCTAACATCAAGTTTTAAGAAAGAAGATGTTGGGCTTTTAGGTGGACCTATACTCAAGTACCAACCCCCAGCTATCCTGACAGTCCCGCTCGCAGCAAAAGAGGCTGTGAAATGCCAGGATGGATGGTCATGTGACCATTGCTAAGGCATTCTTCATGTAATTATTAGGGTTGAGTGGAATTGAGCATTTTTATTTCCTACAATTAGAAGGTGTGATGGAGTGTGGTCCAAGCTGGACAACCTTGTTCTGGTTGCTATCATGCTCACACCAGGTTTTCTTGGGGGCATTATTTGACCATCTCAATTGTGATTGTTATCTTGTTGCACCCGATAAACATACATCACATGTTAATCTCCTATCTGGCTGTTTATTGCTGTCTGTGATTCTCTGGGGAGACTTCCCTTTAATTCGTGCCCTACAGAAGCAAAAGGAAATGAGAGGTAATTACTCCATAGTGAGGGGAAATCTTAGACAGTTGTCACCCAAACATTTGTCCCCGTTGGGTAATATACCCCATGCTTACCCATTGTTGTGGTGACAACTCGAAACGCTTAGATTTCCCATCACTTTCTGTCTGAGTGACAATGATCTCCAGGAATAATAGAAGAGTGAATCTCCACACAAAAAATGGAAGCAGGCAGACTATTGCAGTCATGTGATGTCTCTTCTGCAATAAAACAAACTTACCAGCTTGGTCTCAATCTTCTTTGGAATATGCATCAAGCCCGGTGTACATTCTCGGGACACCTCGGTGCCAGAATTAATCAACTCCCATGCAAATGTGCGGGAGTTGAGTCATTCTTGCCTGGCCAATGAAGATAGCCGAAGATCCCAAACCTGGAAGAACACCGGGTGAAGATGTTGGCGCCAATGAGGGAGCCAGGGGAGTGGACTGTAGTTCCACTTTAAGGTGGATTTTCTCGGCTTTTACAGCTTAAATATGCCCTGAGGATCACAGAAACTCCTGTTCTTCTACCACAATTATATCCCTTCATTAGCCTTATTATTTAAAGTTTTTTCACAGAAATAAAATAAACAGGAAAAAAAGTAAAATAAAAGATGTAAAGTGACAACACACAAATAACGATGAAATACAGAAAATAAAAGGAACACATCAGGAGTACAAAGGACACTAATGGGTTCATGTATATACGCTGGGTGGATGCCATTCTCATGGCACTGGGGCCTCTAGATGGTGCCGAGGAGTATAGGAAATTTCTCTACGTCTCAGCGCCAGCCATAGGCACTAGTGCTGTAAATAAATAAACCCAAAAATGAAATGATCTAAGTCCACCCTCCAAAAACACCCTGCGTACACGTACAGCAGCCCAACAAGCAAAACTGAGACATTGCTCCTCAACCAAATTTTGCGGATGGCAAAATAAGCTCCTCGGAACTCACTCCACTAATCCCTAGGAATGATTGTGTAGGAGAAGGTCAGGCAAAGCCACTGAACATGTCTACCCTGGGCCCCATCATGATAGATCACGTGACAGGGTTCTGTAGGGAGCCTAGTGTGCAGGATTTTTGCAGGAAGGGCCTTTCTTAACCTCATAATATTTATGTGCGGTATTTATAAAAGCGAGATTGTCAGGCTAGGTGGAGTTGTAATTTGGGTACAGGTCTGATTTAAGGAAGTCCCACAGTGCTCATCTCAGGCTTTATTAGAATCAATGCATCAGAAAGGCACAGCATAGGTTGAAGTATGGATGTCCATCACTGGCCCTCCCCTTGTCACCGTAACCCCTGGAGGACCAAAACTGGACACCCTTCATTGTATATAACGACAGATACACCCAAAAAAATCAATGTGTCAACAATGTGTCATTCTATTTCCAATGGAGAGTATGATACCGACAGTCATTCTTGTGGTTCTCTATCCATCTCTGTTCTATGCTGATGC